GTTCCACAAATACAAGTCTGTTCATTGTAAGGGACTTGGTTAATTTTCCATATTTAACCATTGTGTCCAGCTTCTCAAATATTTCTTGAGTAAATACTGCTTTAAAATGTTTAGGCATTTCTGCATTTCAGAACTTGGCAATTTGGAAGCTCTGATTGTAGCAGCTCCTCCATTTCAATGCCCCAACCTTAATTGAGTATATTAGAGTAAAAATAAATGATATGGTCACTAATATGTTTGTAATTTTCTAAATAAGCTGGTTAATTAATGATAGCAGCCCACTATGATTTCATAAGACAAATGTGGGCCTAATGGTGAAGATGCTTGCTTCCCACCCAGAAGGTTGAGAGTTCAATCCTAGGTAGTGGCAGATATTTCTCTCCTAGGAAAAGCAAAAAAAAAAAAATCTGCCGTGAACTCCACATGATGTCGGGAAGGGAATCCAGCCAGTAAATTTATTTTTATTTTTATTTTTATATTCTCAGCTCCATGCAGTCACCCTCAAGTGTACCACAAATTAATGGATTAGAGAACCATAGAAAGGGAGTTTAAGGGGTCCATGCCAGAATGCAGGAATAACACTAGGAAGAAAAGAGGTAGGAATTGGAATTCTTTACATAAATCTGGGATTTGTTCACCATTCACAATATCATTATTCTGGCTCATATGATGTACAAAGTATGTGTCATCTGCTTATTTGGACCAATATAAACAATATCATCAACATAAACAAGAACTATCTCATATATATTATCAGATCTTTTTGTAAACATGCATTCATCAGTTTCATGTGTTCAGTTTTCAGTGTTCACTTTATCGTTCAGTTATTGGGTCACTGTTGTATATTAGTAGTTGGACTAGACCCGACATTGCACTTAGTGTTAATCTCTTGTCCCGACACGTGGGTAAGGCAAGACAGTTTCATTTGACATGTGTTAAGAAATTATTGAAATACCTAAAGCACACTAAAAATATGAGGTTATTGTTAGAACCAACACATACTGATTATGCAGAATTATGTTGTTATGCAGATTCTGATTGGGCGAGTGATAAGAAATCACGTAAAAGTACTTCAGGTTATATGATGTTCTTAAATGGATGTCCTGTTTACTGGCATGTGCGAAAACAGAATTTTGTTTCTTGTTCATCTACTGAGGCTGAATATGCTTGTGTTTCAGATGCATGTAATTTTCTAACGTGGTTTGATGCTTTGGTCACAGATATCTGGACACACCTGAACCGACTGATCACTGTGATGGAAGACAATGAATCTGTGGTTTATATTTCTGAATCACGTTTCGCAGGTTCTAGGTCCAGACACATTGACATCCGTTATAAAAATATAAAACAATTAGTGAAACAAGGTTTTGTAAAATTGCACTATGTACCTACACATGATCAGATTGCTGATATGCTCAACAAACCACTTCCAGCAGCTCAGCACAAGTATCTGCATAAGAAGATGTGCCTTACCTGATGGCTATACCTGATGTATGCTCAACTGACAAAGAAGGGGTTGTCACTGCATTATGTATTTGTCAGCTGAGCTTCCATCCTAAGACTTACGGTAGTCTGGCCAAGAACTTTATCACGTCTCTGTAGCAACAGAGATAAGACTGTCTTGTGATTTCTGAGCTACTGCGCATGTCCAGGTTTAAGGAAGAAACTTCCTGCTTTCTTTTTCCTTTGTCCATCTATGTTGTAAAACTGCCGGTATCAATGTAGTTAGTAAGTTTGTTTTATTTCTTTATAATAAAATGTTTCTTAGAATATATTTCGGGGTTTCTTTCTTTAAAGTACACAGCATGGAAAAACAAGATCCATCCATCTCTAATCAAGTGCAATTACCCCAGGGGGGAGTATCGAAGCTTATTTACGCTCCAACAGTATGTGCCTTCCTTTGATGCCGGAGACCTTTTGATTAGACACAAATCTCTCTTCATCTTCACCTGTGTGCAACAGAAGCCCCTCAAAGCAGTGAAGATTTGATATGGATGCTTTTATCCTTGCTCCCTTCACACTGTAGAATGCAATCCCTAGCCATGGCTAGGGATTAAATGCTCATAGGGAAAAGCAGTTCTTGAATTCTACAGGGAAGATATAGTTGAATCCATTACTCAGCTGCCACCACCCTGTTCACTTTACCTATAGAGAAACACAAACCTGAGGTACTTTGTAGGTGCCTACTAATGTTGACATCTGAATGGAGATGTCACTGGCAGCTCCATCAATAAGAGTCAAAAGGTTGTCCTTCCTTCCACAGCTGTAATTGGGAACATTGGCTTCTCCAGTAGAGAGCATGTCCAGCAAAGCATCTGAAGTTCCAAATGTGTTCAAATAGTTGTCATGAATGTTGTAGCCAAGTGTGAAATTGTGCAGGAGTCGGTGATCCTTGTTGATGACTTGAATAGCAAAAATGTAACGTAGTATTCTTAGCTTGTCTGAAGGTAAACTATTGCAAAAATGTGTTCATCTTATTATCATCATCATTAACAGCAATAACAAAACACTTATTCAATTTAATCCTCTGTCTCCAAAAGACCTCAGTGTTAAAACAAAAAATGATCCAATACCAGAGACAAAGGATATTCACCCATCCCCATTTCATTTCAAGAAGATGAGACGAAAGTTAAGAATAATATATGCCCCATTATATATAGCAGTACTATTTTTCATCTTCCCAGGAACCAGGATTCCAAATCATTCAATCATTAAAGTAGAACCATCATAAAAGAAGGAGACTGTTTCATATTTGACCCAGAATAGCAATTCTAGAAATAAGTCTTCCTTTATTTGCTACAATGATCAGGTATTGAATATAAACGAGCTGTTGTAAAAATATTGAGAAGTCTGGATAGAGGCAACTATAACCCTTTCAACCACTACTTTAGACAAATGTTAGCATTCAACTGATAAACTGAGGATTGGATGTAATCTGACTTCTTTCATGTTTTTTTCCCAAATCCATCTTTGGATTTGAGTCTCTTTCTCAAAATGAGACAAAAGAGGGAAGTCGTGGAAATGAAAACAATTCAAGAAATTTGACAGGTCATGCAATTTAGAAGTACATAAATTAGAAGAAAAGAAGAAGAGTGTTACAAGTGCAGTTGGAGGGGATGCAATTCCATCACACTGAAAGACTTACAATTGTATCTGATTGTAAGGAACCATGTTGAAAGGCAACATTACACGCAATATTTTTGTGGCAGAGAGGACTACATTAATGAGATGGTCTCCTGGTCTGTAATAGCTCCATGGCCTTTCTCCATCCTGGTGCTCCAAATGCAGCAGGCACTTCGTTTTATGTCTCCCAGAGATTGGCAGAGACATCAACAGCATTAGAAGCAGGAGCAGAAGCTCCATAATCCATAGGACACTGAATCAATCCGTTTCTAAACAAATACAAGGTTTAGAAGAATCCAAAGCACTCTTGCAAGATGGAAAAGCCAGTGAGTTTCCTAATTGAGACGTAGAGAAACTCAGCTTCACATGGAAAGGAGAGAAAGATACATTCAAGAGCACAGCCCCTGCCTGTCTCAAAATGTGTGCCACACAGAGTTCATATAGCCTTTGGTGATGCAAGATCCTTTGCACATTGCTTCAATCTGATGTTTACATCAAAGGAAGTCACTGGAGCAGAAGATGTCTCAAAGATCAGAATGGTGATCATTATAATAAGAAGCCATTTCTTCTCTGGGGATCCTGAAGTACTTTTGGGGCCCTGTGTGCAGACGTTACATGGAAGTTCTCATTCATCCAGGTCCTGGTTGTGCCAATGGTGCTTTTATTTTAAAGGCACTTGGATGTTCTGATTTTTCTTTAAGATGTTTCGCTTCTCATCCAAGAAGCTTCTTCAGTGCAAGGCAGCTCCCTCCTTGGAGGCAGCCAGCAAGCAAACAAATGTGGCACTCTGGCTGGGAGGTGGCAGCAGAGACCCCACCTCTGGTTGGTGAGAGCAGAGCAGGCAGGGCACGCACCTTCCCTGCCACCGCCCAGCCAGAGGCGGTGGCTAACATCTACATTGATTGTTAGTGTTAAATATATTTTAACACTAGGAGGAGGTGCCTAAAATGGCCGCCATGGTTTTTTGAGCTCCACTGGGGATGGGGATGGGGCATCCTGATGGAATGCAGAGGCTTTAGGGGGGCTTTGGTTATGTCCCCTGATATGGACTGGTAAGGGGAGCATTTGAGGCTTGGCAGGTCCAAGTTTTACCTTTGGAGGTTCCCAGGAAACGCCAAGCATCCCGGAGTTGCTGCCCCATGAGGCTACTCGGACAGTGGTTTTTTTTCACCGCAGTCTTCGCCGCGAGTCAGCTGGATGGCGGTGTGGCACTGCGGCGGTGGGGGGCGGCGAGGTAGAGACCCCCATGGACCCCAATTCAATGTCGTCCAGCTGTATGGCTGGGGAATCACTCGGTGACGGCCTCCCTGGAGTCAGCTGGCACCCGCCGAATGGGAGGAGATTGCCGGTGGCGTGTGTGGAGGATAGTCAATGGCGGAGCGACCCCGTCCCAGGTGCGGCTTAGTGGAGGAGAGGCCGAGCCAAGAGAGACGAGGGGAGCTGTGCACCGAGCTCAGGCTCTGTTTGCCTGAACCTAGGGGAGTCTCCCCCCTTCACTGTGGACCGTAGCATCTTGGGGCCTGTGGAGCCGCGAACCGGAATTTGCTGGTCCACCTGTGGAGGGAAGGTATTCAGGGGGCCTGCTTATACCATCCAAGCTGGTTGGGCTGGGCTGGGGGTCACAGGCGGTTGAAGGCTTTGCCTGGATGTTCCATTTCTGCTGCTTTGACCCCCCGGATTGTCTCTGCTACAACCGCCTGGACTGGTTATGGCATCAAGAGCCCTTGACCTTCTTTTCTCCAGCCCTATAATGGTCAGTTCTTTGGGTGTGCTTGCCCGCTGCCATGAGAGGGCGGCTGTGGACTTATTGTATGACCAAGTCATGTTGCGTTGGGAGAGCATCAACGACGTATGGATCCTACCCGGATGATTCCTACCTGGCCTAGGAACCTTGCTGCGGTGAGAGAGCGGTGAGGATTACCATCGCCTGTCATTTTCCTACTGCTGTGAGAGGGCTTCTGGGAATGCAGGCTCCTATTCCTATTGCTAGGGCAGACTTTGGACTTTAGACCTTGAACTACTGACCTGTGATCTTGATAGGCCACGCTACCATGGACATTCCCATCTCTGCGTTTGAGGATGACTCTACGAACTTATACAATCGTGGACGTGGTCGCCCTGAGAAATTCCCCCCATTCTTGAGTGTGGCCAGTGGGCCTTGCAAAGACTTACCTTAATGATAGGTCCTGGGACCCCGAGAGGGGGCACAAGGGTTTTAAGGGTTTTAGAGGACATAAATTGAAGAGTTTTTTAACAAAATTTTTAACGAAAATTTTAAGGGGACCCGGGAGGGGGGAGGGGGTTGTAGAGAGGGACCTGGGGGTTCATATAGCTACTGTACGGGATGGTGGGTTGGATGGGCGCAGCAGAGGGTTTGAGGAGAGTAGTTTGACTGGGGAGCTGGGGGGTTAAAGGAAGGGCAATTCAATTGAAATAATAAGTGGGAGGGGCAGGTATGGCAGGTGCAGGGGGCCATATCATGTTCCGGGGTGCGCATGCGCTGTCTACGAGCGATTGTGCACTCCGGCCCCCAAAGCGCAGCTCGTGTCCTGGGTTGCACAGAGTCTCAGGCCCTGGGTCCTCGGCTGATGTTATGTAATGCCAGGTCGGTAGTTAATAAAGCCCCCCTCATTTGTGATCTTATTATGGAGGGAGGTGCGGACCTGGCAGGAATCACGGAGACCTGGTTGGGCCAGGAGGGGGGGGGTTCCCCTCATTGAAATGTGCCCTCCAGGTTTCCGTGCATTTCATCAGCTGAGGGCTCAGGGGAGGGGTGGGGAGTAGTGGCAATTATAAGAGAAAGTCTTTGTCTGAGGGAGGACACTGTTCCTCAGATAGCTGGATGTGAGTCTCTTTTTGTGAAGTGGGGTCGTGGGGTGCAGATGGGTTTGCTGACTGCATACCTGTCTCCTTGCCATGTAGCGGCGACCCTGCCTGAGCTACTTGATGTGATTGCCGGGGTGGCAGTGGACACCCCCAGACTTATTGTCATGGGGGATTTCAACCTGCCATCCGCCGGTGAGGCATCAGAGATGGCTCGGGAGTTCATGGCTGCCATGACGGCCATGGACCTGACCCAGTTAGTTCAAGGCCCCACTCACATAGGGGGACACAATCTGGACTTGATTTTCATCTCTGGTCAGTGGTTGAATGATCTAGGTAGAGGGCACTTAGACATCAAACCCTTGTCATGGACAGATCATTCCCTCCTTCATTTGGACTTTCGAGCCGCTCCCCCTTGCCGCAGGGAGATGGAACCAATCAGATGGTTCTGTCCCAGGCACCTGATGGACCCTGAAAGGTTCCTGATGGAGCTTGGGCCGTTTCCTGAGACCCTGGCACACGACTCAACTGAAGACATGGTAGCCGCCTGGGATAGTACGGCCACCGGAGTTTTGGATCGTGTCGTGCCTTTGTGGCCTCTGACCCGATGTCGATCTCAATTGGCTTCTTGGTTCTCTGAGGAACTGAGAGAGATGAAGCATCAGAAAAGATGCCTAGAGAGCGTCTGGAGGACTAGTCAATCCGAACCTGATCAAACACAGGTGAGATCTTATATCAAGACCTACATAGTGGCGATAAAAGTGGCAAAATCTAATTATTTTTCCGCTCTTATCACATCTGCAGAGAACCACCCAGCCGCTCTGTTTAGGGTGATCCACTCCCTTCTGCAGGGGGGGGTGGAGTGCGGGAAGATCCCTTGCAGGGTCGAGCTGAGGATTTTGTGCAATTCCTGCATGATAAAGTCACTCAGATTCGGGAAGGCTTGGACTCCGATTGGGTGAGTCTGGGGAGGGAGACAGGGATTGGTCTTGAGAATGTTATCTGGGAAGAGTTTGACCCTGTGGTTCCTGAGGACATGGACAGGATTCTGGTTAGGCTTAGTGCTACCACATGTTTATTGGACCCGTGTCCTTCCTGGTTGGTACTGGCCCCCCGGGAGGTTACACAAGGCTGGCTCCAGGGGGTTATAAATGCTTCTTTGAGTGAGAGTGCCTTTCCTGCAGCCTTGAAAGAGGTGGTGGTGAGGCCCCTCCTCAAGAAGCCTTCCCTGGACCCGGCTGTATTAGCAAACTACCGTCCAGTCTACAACCTTTGTTTTGTTGCGAAGGTTGTTGAGAGTGTGGTGACACGACAGCTACCCCGGTACCTGGAGGAAGCTGTCTATCTGGACCCATACCAGTCGGGTTTCAGACAGGGGTACAGCATGGAAACGGCATTGGTCAAATTGGTTGATGATCTCTGGAGGGCTCAGGACAGGGGTTGCTCCTCTGTCCTGGTCCTATTAGATCTCTCAGTGGCTTTTGATACCATTGACCATGGTATCATGCTGCAGTGGTTGAGGGGGTTAGGAATAGGAGGCACCGTGCTATGGTGGTTCTTCTCCTTCCTCTCCGACCATTTGCAGTTTGTATTGGCAGGGGGGCAGAGGTTGACCTCGAGGCGCCTTGCTTGGGGGGTGCCACAGGGGTCGGTCCTCTCGCCCCTTCTGTTCAACATTTATGTGAAACCACTGGGTGAGATCATCCGTGGTTTTGGGGTGAGAGTCCATCAGTACGCTGATGACACTCAGCTGTACATCTCCACCACAGACAACCCCAATGATGCCCTTGATGTGATGTCCCACTGCCTGGAGGCCATGCGGGTCTGGATGGGGAGAAATAGGCTGAAACTCAACCCTTCCAAGACCAAGTGTCTGTGGCTTCTGGTGTCCTGGTATAGTCAGCTGGTGCCATCGCTGACTATTGGGGGTGAATCCTTGCCCCTCACAGAGAGGGCTTGCAATCTGGGTGTCCTCCTGGACACACGGCTGTCTTTAGAAGAGCATATGACGGCCGTGGCCAGGGTTTATTTTTATCAGGTTCGCATGATACGCCAGTTGCGCCCCTTTCTGGATTGAGACTCCTTATGCACAGTCACAGTCATGCTCTCGTCACTTCTCGATGGACTACTGTAATGCTCTACATGGGACTCCCCTTGAGGAGCACCCAGAGGCTCCAACTGGTCCAGAATGCGGCCGCGTGGGTGATTATGGGAGCGACATGGTGCTCCCATGTAATACCTCTCCTGTGTGAGCTGCACTGGCTTCCGGTGGTCTTCCAGGTACACTTCAAGGTATTGGTTCTCACCTTTAAAGCGCTCCATGGTTTAGGACCGGGTTATTTACGAGACCGCCTTCTGCCACTGATAACCTCCCACTGGCCAATATGCTCTCACAGAGAGGGCCTCCTCAGGGTGCCGTTGGTCAGGTAATGTCAGCTGGCGGCCCCAGGGGGAGAGCCTTCTCTGTGGGGGCACCCACCCTCTGGAATGAGCTACCCCCAGGAATATGACTGATCCCGGATCTCTGTACTTTCCGCAAGGCCCTGAAGACTTTTTTATTTCAGTAAGCCAGGCTGGCCTAAAAGAATTTTAATGGGTTAGTTTTAAATTTTATAGATGAGGGGTTTTAAATTGGGAGGCCAAATGATTTAATTATATTTTAAACTATCTTAACTTTTATAGTGTATGTATTTTAATCTTGGCTGTCCACCGCCTTGAGTCCTGTGGGAGAAGGGTGGTATACAAATTTTATAAATAAATAAATAAATAAATAAATAAATAAATAAATAAATAAATAAATAAATAAATAAATTTGCTCTATTTAGGTGATCCTGAGGGCAGAGATCAAAGTGGCCTCAATGACTCTCGAAAACAGGGTTGTCAAACTCGCGGCCCATGAACCTGATGTGTTACATGCTGGCCCTGCTCCCACCTGGTTTAGCGAAGGGAAAAAAGTCACAATATTTTATGTGTTGCCACTGTGACGACATGAGTTTGACACTCCTGCTCTAAAAGGATGCAAATGACCAGATGTCTGCAAGGAGTATAAATCCTTACATTCCCCACCATTCAGTCAGAGCTGAAGAAGCTTCTTGCATGAGTAGTGAAATGTCTTCAAAGAAAAAGTAACAGTCCAATTATTTAAAACGGAACATTAGGCCAGGCCAGCCTGCTGGAACAAAAATGTTTTGAGAGCATGACGAAAAGTGCGCAGATCCAGGATCCTCCGTATCTCCGGGGGAGCTCATTCCAGATGGTAGGTCCCCCACAGAGAAGGCTCTCCCCTGGGGGCCACCAGTCAATACTGTTTGGCCGACGGCACCCTGAGAAGCCCTTCTCTATGGGAACGTACTGGTCAGTGAGAGGTTATTGGTGGCAGAAGGCGGTCTTGTAGATACCCCAGTCCGATGCCATGGAGTGCTCTAAAGGTGGTGACCAAAACCTTGAAGTGCACCCGGAAGACCACCGGGAGCCAGTGCAGGTCGCGTAGTAGGGGGGTCACATGGGAGTGCCACGTCACTCCCATAACCACCTGCGCGGCTGCATTCTGGACCAGCTGGAGCCTCCGGGTGCTTCTCAAGGGGAGCCCCATGTAGAGAGCATTGCAGTAGTCCAGGCAGGAAGTAATGAGAGCATGAGTGACCGTACTTAATGAGTCCCAATCCAGAAAGGGATGCAACTGGCAAATCAGGCGAACCAGATAGAAAGTCCCCCTGGCCACAGCCATCAAGTGCTCTTCCAAAAACAGCTGTGAGTCCAGGAGGACTCCCAAGTTGCGAGCCCTCTCCGTGGGGGCCAATAACTCGCCTCCAATAGTCAGTGATGGCACCAATTGACTATATCAGGATGTCGGAAACCACAGCCACTCGGTCTTGGATGGGTTGAGCCTGAGTCTGTTTCTCTCCATCCAGATCTGCACAGCCTCCAGACACTGGGACATCACTTCAAGGGCATCATTGGGTGGTCTGGGGTGGAGATGTGCAGCTAAGTGTCATCAGTATACTGGTGGTACTTCACCACAAAACCACCAATGATCTCACCCAGCGGCTTCACATAAATGTTGAACAGAAGGGGCGAGAGGACCGACCTGTCAGGTTTTCAGGCCATCTTC